GGCCGTCCGTCTGTCCGCCTGCCCCTCCTCCTCTCTCGCCATCCCGGGCACCCCTCTGCAGCCGCAGGCCGGCCCCTCCCTGTGCGCCCAGCGCCTCCTGCTCTGTCTCTCCATCCCTCCCTCCTGTCCCTGGGCCCCCCCGCTCTGCCCCTCCCTCTCTCCCCCCTTCCTCTCCCCTCTCTCCCTCCGGCCATCGGAGTGCCAGTCCGCCCTGCTGGCCCTGGCCCTCATCCTGGTGAGTGTCGCTTCTTTGTGCTTCCCTTTGTTATTCTGCCCTTACTCTCGGTTCCCTCTCTCTGTTCACCGGGGGGAGCTCGCCCCTGTCCGATCCACCCCTCTGCCCATCCTTCAGCCCAACTCCCCCGAGGACTTACACCCTATTTGCTCTGCCTGTCCACCCCCAGCATTATGGGGGGTGGGGACTCTCCTGGTGCTCCCCACCCTCTCGCCGCAGAGCAGGAACTGCGGAGATGGAGGCAAATGTGTCTGAACCAGAGGGATTGATGTGGATGGGTTTGGGGGGGAGGGCAGTCCCCTTCACCTCCTGGCACGTGTCACCTGAGCTGCACCCTTCCCCAGTGCCTTTCTGGGATTTGCTCTGCAGTCATGGAATAGCTGTCCCTGGCCTCATTTCTCTCTCCATCACGTTCCCCCTTATCATCTGGACTTTCAGCCTGCCCTTGCAGGTGCTCTCTCGCGTGCAGCTGCATTCACACAATACTGTTGGTGATGGGCACCTGCTCCTCTCTTCCAAAATGGACCCCTCCACCTGTCCACCCGCTGCTTTCCACAAACATCCTGGTGTCTCTCTCTTTGTTCACCTATGTGTCCATCTGTCCCAAAATGGACCTCGTCTGCCAATCTATCCATCGAGCCATGGGTGGACAGCCATGCATTGTTCATCCCAGTAGAGGCCTGCCCACCCATCCTCCATCATCCACCCATCCATCATCATCCATCCATCCATCCATCCATCCATCCATCCATCCATCCATCCATCTTCCATCATCCATCCATCATCTATCTATCCATCCATCCATCCATCCATCCATCCATCCACTCTTGATTTCACACCTTCTTCCCTCCATCTCCCTTTGCTATCCCTTAGTTCTCTTCAAGATTCTCCCAAGGTGGGGATGGGGTGCAGACCTCCTCAATGCAGAGATACTCCTGGTGACATCCCAGTGCTCATAAATATGCATTTCTGAATCCCTGGGTTTTCTCTGGCTCTACATGGTGGGCTGGGGCTTCCAGCTATGTATGTAGGAGAAATGACAAGGAATCATCATCGTATAGGGGCTGCCCTGTGGTTTCTGTGGTTCTCTCCTCTAACAGGAGACTCTTCTTCTCTGCAGGTCTCCAGAAATGTGGCATCAGAGCTTTGGACTTCTAGGAAAATCCTACACCCATGACAGTGAGCCAGGGATCAGACAGCTGAGGGACATCTGGGGAATGGGGAGTGCTCTGAAAGCGGGACAAAGAAAGGAGAAGGATAGGCAGCCACAGGGGGAAATAATCTGGATGGGATCTTCCCAGAGTGAAACAAGGATGGGAATGGGCAAGATCTCTACAGGAATTGGGTGGAGAACAGAGGGACAGGGGGAAAGGGAAATTGGAGAGGTGGGAGGCAGACAGTTTTCCACATCAGGCTCACGCTAGACCCTCAGTAACGTTGGTCACCTAGTCTTGGTTTCCAGGGTGGGAACAGCCACATACCTCTGAAGCAGCCCCAGTCACCTCCTTGTGTCGTTCATGTGTGCTGATGGACAGGTTGCATCTCTCTCAACAGCAACAGGTTCCTTTCTGTTGGGGAAGTGGCTCCACGTACCCCTGTACTCGGTGCCTCTGTGTAGTGCTGTGGTGGATGTTGCTATCCAGGATTATGTGGCTGACGTGGCCTCCGAACTCATCTACCAGAACAGGAGTCAGATCTCCACAGAAGTCGTTTTTGTCTTCCCTCTGGTCTCCCACATATCCATCTACTCCTTCCAGGCCTGCAGTGAGGATGCCAAGGTCCAGGCCCTGCTGCGGGATGAGGTACCAGTGTCCAGGGACGAATGGGTGAACCACCACAGGGGCATGGGATGAGCAGCCCATGGCTTGCCTGGTGATCCACTTTCTGTCCTTCCCCTTCCCACCCAGGCCCAGCAGCTGCACGAGGCTACAGGGAGCTGGGAGAATCTGGAATACCTTCAGAAACAGTCTGATTGCCCAGGCAAGGTGTTTGCCTGCTTCCTGGGCACCCTGTCCCCTGGCAGGGAGATGGTTGTGACCTTGCGCTATGTCCAAGAGCTGCCACGGAAGCCAGATGGAGCAGCCCATTTTGTGCTGGCACCCACATTGCATCCCCACACACATCTCTATGGTGAGTGACCCCACTAGGAACCTGCCCTCCCAGTCACACACCCCACACAAGGGCCACAGACTCCCCGTGTACTTTACAAACAGACACAATGCAACTTCCCTTCACACCCACAGGGATACCCACATTTTTCCCCCATGCAGCCGCTGGACAGATACACATATTCCTCCTTGTGCTCCATGAGGGGATCCACACCTCCCACAGCCATTCCCCATAAACAGACTCATGGACACCTCCATACGCCTTATTGACAACCCCCAAATCTCTCCATATGGCCTCTATATGGATGCCAAATCCTGCCCCTCCCCCCCCACCCCTGCAGGGATTGCCTTTGCCCTCCCCAGTGCCGTGTTTCTCTCTCTGCAGTCTGCAATTGTCTCACTGGCAAGCTGCCCTACAGCCTGCTGCTCACCGCTAGCCTGCAGTCCCCCCGTGGAGTGGCCAATGTCCAGGCCAACTTCTCCCTCACCCCTTTGCTCTACACTGCCCAGGACCGCAGCACGGCACAGGTATGCCCTCCTGGGTGCCAGGACCCCGGGGAGCTGGGGAGGGCTGTCATCACTGAGAAAAAGGGGATGCATCAAGATCAGTGCCTGTGTGCCTGGCCCGGTGTTGGGTCGGGTCCCCTCCTCCCATGTCTAGTCAGGCACCTCTTCTCCAGGTCTCGCTGGCTGGCAGCCCCCCAGATGACAAGGATTTGGAGCTGCTGGTGTATTTTGGAGAGCCCACAGCAGTCAGTGCTGTGGTGGAGAAGGGAGACCCCGCAGCACCTCCAGACGAGTGCAGCTGGGGAGGGAACCTGAGGGCACTTCTGGGTTGAAGGAGGAAATGAGGCACGAGGACACACTGGGGGTTCTGGGGGGGCGAGATATCATTGGACACTGGTATAGGAATGGGAGGCATTCAGGTGGGATAGTCTGGGTCCTGGGGTTCCAGGGTGGGGTGTTAGGGACACTGTGGAGGGGCAGGATGCGTGCAGGGAGTTCTGCGTTAGGGCTCACTGGGTAGCTCTGTTGGAGGCACTGGGTTGGAATAGGCACCGGGCTGTGCAGTTGGTGGACAGTACAGTAGGACATTGAGGTACCAGTGTGGCACATCATGGGCTCTGGGGTGGTGGAAGCTGAAAGCACAATGAGAATCAGAAGCAGGATGAGGAGGGGGGTGCCTACGTGTCCTTCATCTGATCCCATACCTCCTCCAGGTTCTCTGCTCGGTGACCCCATGGTGTTGGTGACGCTGGCACCCAGCATCCCTGAGGCAGTGCCTGGGCAGCGCCAATCTGGAGAGTTCATCTTCCTCCCGGACACCACTTTTCTTGAGCATGCTCAGGTACCCCTGCAGAACAGGGACCAGGGTGGGGTGGAGGAGAAGGCTGAGGGGGAGCGGGCCAGGGCAGGCAGTTACAGAGGGACAGAGATGTGAGGAGGGACTGGTGGGGCTGAAATGGTCCTGGAGTCCAGAGGCTTTAGGAGGACCTGGGCAAAAGCACCTGTACCCCACACCAGTGCCTCCCAAGTCCTGCCTGCTGTGTCTTTCCACAGGACTCCTTGCTCTTCCTTCTCAAATGCCTGCCCCTGGGCTGCTACTTCAACATCTACTGCTATGGAGCAACCTCTGGGGGCATCTACCCGTGAGCAAACATGTGGCAGGCTGGGTGCGATGGGGCTGGAATAGGTGCTGGTGGGTAGGGCTGGATACTGCGGGGCATGGCTGGGTGCTGTGGGGCTGGAATGGGTGCTATGGGGCAGGGTTAGATGCTGGAGGGCAGGTGTGCATGCTCTGAAATCGCCTGGCTGGTACAGGACAGTGTTGGGTGCCGGAGGGCACGACTGACTACTGTCGGGCAGGGGTGGATTCTGGGGATGGGATCTTTGTGGCACTGTGGGAGAGCACCTCTTGGGGTGCTGTTGAGCTGAATCTTGTAGGAACTATGAAGCCGTGTCTCTTCAAGAACTACTGTGGGGCAGGGACTTGCAGAGGACCCTAGGGCATAGCTGTGGGAAGCGCTGTGGGGCAGGGTCTCAGGGGTAATCAGGGCTGGCACAAAGCCATGTGCTCTCCAAACATGCCGTGCCCCCGCAGGCAAAGTGTTGAATATACTCAGGACAACCTGACCGAGGCCATGCGGCGCATCGCCCCCACCGGTCCCAGCCTGGGTGACACCGATCTGCTGGAAACCCTCCGCTCAGTCTACAATACCCCTTGCCCCCGCGGGCACACACGCCAGGTCTGGGTGCAGGGGCATGGAGGGGTGGGATAGGGGTCCCAGGGGAGAGGGGGTGGCAATAGGGATGGAAGGAGCCACCCAAGGTATGTGGTGGCCACAAGGGAACAAGAAGGATACCGTGGGGTGTGGGGGAATGGAGAAGTGGGTCTGTATCTGTGGGGGTTTCTGTCCCTGAGTGGATCTCTCTCCCTGGGGTCATCTTGCTACAGGGTCTCTGCTGGGCCCCTCTCTCCATTTCAGGGGCCTGCTCTCCACATTTGGGGTCCCTGTGCAGGACCCCACCACTCATGTCCCCTGTCTCTCAGCTCTTCATCTTCATGGCCACGCTACCCCTTGACAAGGAAGCCATCGTTGCTGAGGTCTGCCGTCACCGCAACAGCCACCGGTAATGGGGACTCTGCCCCCAGTCCTCCCGTCACGCTTTGGTTGTCCAGTCATTCTAACCCTTATGAGGGCCCCTGTTCACCAGTGCCTGCCCCAATCCTTGCACCCCTCCAGTGTCCCAAAGACCCTTCCCACCCTGCACAGCTCTGCTGTAGGACTCTTTGCTTACTACTCCCACAACCAAGGCACCCTTCACAGAGCAGGAAAACTGAGGCACAGGGCTTCTACACCCTAATGTGCCCCCAAACTCTACCTCAGCCCCACTAGACTGACCCCAGCTCTGTCGCAAGTCCCAGCTCTCCTCTGCCAGCTTCCTGTCCAACCCCTGCTCCAACCCCAGTCCCTCATTCTATTCCCTGCTCATCTTCCTGCCCCCTTGTTCTGCGCCCCAGCTTTGCTCCTCCAGTTTTAACTCCAGCCTGTGTTCTCCAGCTCTAGCCCAGCATCCTTGCACCCACCCATGGCTCTCATTTCTGACACCTTTCCCTGCCTCCCCATAGGTGTTTCTCCTTCTGCTTTTCTGAGGACAGCGCTGCCCTGGCTACAGCCCTGGCCAGGGAGACAGGGGGTGAAGCGACCTACGTCTCCTCTGACAACACTGTGATGGCTGCGGTAGGAACCCAAGAGCCCTGGCAGGTCCCCCTCTAGTCCACAGACACACGGACTTCGAAGCCCCCCAGCATCTGAACTGCCCTCACACAGCTGCCTGAGGAACCCAGGCACTCAAGCTTCCCCTGACTCTACCCACCACCCACCCCACTGAGGACTGAGGTGCCCGGGGTTCTGCCCCCTATAACCCACAGACTGACTGTGCCCAGGGAACCCAGCTGGTGCAGGCTACCACACACACTGCAGTGTCCCCCAGGGAACCCCAGCACTGGGGGCCATGGGCTGAGCCCTGGTGGGTCTGCGAACTAGGGCGTCCTGTTGTCTGTCCCCAGGTGCTGAAGTTCCTGAAGAAGGCTCTCAAGCCAGCAGCTGCGGGAGTCTCTCTGAGCTGGACCCTGCCCCGTGGCCTGGAGGTTGAGGTGCTGGGCGGCACCCCTCAGTTCATCTTTCAGGGTCAGCACAGCCTCCTCTATGCCCAGATCCATGGACAGGCACAGGTGAGAGCCGGGACCACAGACATCCCCAGCCACCTCCCAGTAGCCTCCCATTAACCACCAGCAGTCTTTCAGTAATTTCCCAATATTGCCCAGTAACCATCTTATGTCCCCAGTATCTTCCAGTAGCTTCCTATTTGTTCCCAGGATGCGACACTGGCCAAGGGGGTCATGACCTTGCAGTACAGCTTGGACAGCCAGGATGTCACTCACACGATCGAATTCCCACTGTGCCCACAGGGAGATGGCCGGTGAGAGCCTGCCCTAAGGGAAGAGGCATGCATCCCCCTCATTGCTGACATGGACTCCAGCTGAGAGGGGGCCCAGATAGCTTGTGCACTCCCATCTTCCACACGCAATCCCAAACTGGCAGAGAACCCAGGTGTCCAAGCATGCCCTCCTTCCCTGCTTTGACCCCACATGGGTAGGACCCAGGAACCTGGGCATCACTTCCCTCCAGAGAGACGAGGACCCAGGCATGCAGGTTTTCCCCCTGCACACCCTCATCCCTGAAGGGAGAGACCCAGGGTCCAGGCTCTCCCTGTGCACCTTTCCCCAGCATGGAGATGAGCCAGGTGGCCGGGCCTCACCCGTCTCTGTCCCCAGGCTGGCTGGGCACCGTCTGGCTGCGAAATGCTTGCTGCAGAGGTTGTTGCCAGAGGCTGCAAGTGGGTCAAGCGATGAGCCCAGGCGTCGTGCAGTTGAGATCAGCCTCACTTCGGGGATCATCTGCCCCTTTACCAGCTATGAAGGGGTTCGCACATCACAGAGGGTCAGCTGGTACCAAGGTAAGGAAAGATGCTTGCAGGAAAGAGCTGGTGAGGCAGCTCCTTGGAATGTTCTCATTCCACTGGAGCTAGAACCCCAGCCACAGGGCACCCCTAGTCTCACGGGGTAGGCCCCATCACCACCAGGTGCTTCTTTCCCGTGTGCTTAATTCAGTTCCCTTCCCTGTTTGTCCTCAAAGGGCCCCTGGCACTCTTGCCACCCCGCCAGTCACTCATCCCCTGCCGGATCATTAAGCTTCGTGGCCTTTATAACGCCTCTTGCTGCCATCCTGTGACCATCTGGGTCCCACCTGACTGGTGGCTTGCCCTCCATCGACTCACTCATGGCATTGCTGCCCTGACCCAGCAGGGAGCTTCCTCAAAAGGTATGGGATAAGCTAACATCTTATAGGAGGGTTATGCTGCCACGTCTTGCCCATGGCATGGAAACCAATGACTTTTGCCTTTAACCTTTCCCTTAGTTACTGTTAAACGTGAAAGTCCTTCAGCAAGTATGAGACTCAGCTCAGGGACACCCAGGGAGGGGAAAGGGATGGCGCTAGATCATAAATACACATTTGGATAAGATGTGTTGGAGGGCTATCAAGAGAGGTCTTGGGACATGGATGAACAGGAATACCAGGAGAAGAGGCAACGGTCCAAGGTGGGGGTGAGTTAGTGGTGTCCAGAAGGGCTGTGGGTGGGAGTGCTTTGGGGACAGGCAGGAAGGAGTTTAGACTGCAGGTAACTGCCTAAAGAAGAGCAGAGATAATATTCTGGGACATTGCAGAGGGAAGTAGAGAGGGGTCAGATTCTTGTCATTCTCTCAACCCTCCTGTTCACATGTTACAGCATGTAAACCACCACCACCACCTGTTTCTTCTCTCAGGAATGTGGATTACAGGGATATTTTTTGGTGCTCTCCAACTTTTGGGTCTTGGTACACCAAAGCCTTTGCTGAGTGCCAGGAGCTGGTGGCACTGCAGAATGTAGATGGTTCCTGGGCCCTCAGCTCAGGGCTGGCCTCTGTTCTGGAAATTGATGAGGCTGAAATCAAGGGAAAGATGCCTGGTGAGGTAAGAGGAAAACTGGTTATGGTGGTAGCGTGTCATCCTGGGACAGTGGGAAGCCCTTGGCTGGTAGCAACACTGGCATCCCAGGGGCAGCCAGAGAGCGAATGAAGGAATCGGAAACCAGAAGCCACAAAGGAAGGGGTGGGAAGCAGTGAGGGGGCAGGGAGGATGCTCAGCGCTGCGTGCTGGCCCGAGTCATTGTTCTCCTACAGGCCACGGAGCCAAGCATCTGGGCCACAGTGCTGGCTGTGACCTGGCTGCACAGAAACAACGAGTGTTACCAAGACCTCTGTGAGCTGCTGGAGGCCAAGGCTGTGACCTGGCTGTGCAGCCGAGCTGGTGAGTCTTGAGGTCTGATCCTTGCTGATCCCCACAGCAGATTCTCCTCCCTTCTGTCTCCACTGGGACTTGCCTCACCCCTTCGCAGGACCACAGTTTCCTGGGGGCAGGTGAAGGAGTCCTGTGTCCCCTTTCTCCTTCCCATCTGTGGACTCCCCCTCCTGCCTGACTCCCTCAGTGCCACTCTCTCTCCCTGACTGCAGTGTCCCAGCTGGACAAGTGCCTGGAGGCTGCCAACACCCTCCTTGGGAGCAGCGTGAAGCCAAGTGTCTTCAGGCTCTGAGCTCAACCCATGCCTTGTTCTAGAGACCCGCAGCACCTGCAGGTGCCAGAAAGTACAGCCTAAATTCACCTACCGTGCTGGGATACCAGTGTCGTTACCAGCTGGGATCTTTCATTACAGATGAATTCTCACTGCCTCTGTCTTATACTGGTGGGCAGAACCTGTATCATGCTGAACTCCTCAAGAGAAAGGCTCTAGTTCAGAGCCTCCAGCGTGCTTGGTTTGGGGGGAAGTGGGAGTGGGAAGGAAATATCACATTTCTCAGTGGTCACCCTTACCAAATTCGGCTTTGGCAAAATGGGCTCCAGGCCTCCACAAAGATGGCGCTTGGGGACACGGTTTAGTGGTGGACGTGGTAGTGTTAGGTTAACAGTTGGGCTCAATGATCTTAGGGGGCTTTTCCAACCTAAACCATTCTAGGATTCTATGGTTTCTATCTTGACAAGAGAGCGCTGTGCACACTAGGAAAGATGAGTCTTTAGAGGTGTCAACAGCAGGCGCAATAGCTGTGGCTCCCAGTGAAGGACTCCTCTTGCATCCCACTTACTGACCTCTTCACGTTACCCCAAAAGTCCAGGCTGTGTTGGGAACTCCCATATCTGCATTGCCACGTAAACCAATGGTTTTGGAAGCAAAATTCTCATCTACATCAGACCCAGCCCATCATGTCCAAAAGAACTCGTGGGGCAGGATTGCTTTGAAAACTATCAGCACGTTGGAGGTGGAACTGCAGGAGCTTTTCATTACCAAACCAGGCATGCGGTGTACTCTCTCCTGTCCCAGGGCCCTGAATTCATGGGTTTCACTCCATGTTGTCAAAGTCTCTGATTCATTTACCAATAAACACTGAATCTTCTGCAAACCAAAAGGTGTGACATAGCCTTTATTTCAGCTGGGCCTATGATCCTTCCTTCCAGGGGCCATCTAAGTCGCCAGGAGGGGCACGAAAGGATGTTGCTTCCCAGAGAGCTGTGTATTCTAATACACTAAATAAGGTGCTGCCATTGCTCTTGGAAGAGCACAGACCTGTTCTAGGTGAGCGAGACAAGAGCTAGGGACTTGCCAGGCTTTTTCTAGACTACTTTTAGCTTAAACTTATTTCAGTTTGATCTTAGCGGTAGTGGCTGTAGCCACACTTTGCCCAGCAAACAGGTGACTGATGTCTAACCCTAGTGTAATAGAAAAGTTGTCAGGTGGTTAATGTCCAACATGGTTTTAGCTTTAACTTTTTGACTCCATTGGAGCATGCGACTCCAAAAAGAAATGCTGCTCTCCCTTTAAGCTTTGCCTCTGCTGTCTGGAGCAGACACAGCCCATTGTGCACCAGGAACCCCCTCCTGCCCTAGAGGTCAGTGGGGAGACAGAGGAGTCACCTTCCCCAGAGATGCAAATGGGACTCGGCTGAGAGGAATGTGCCCTCCCATGCCCCTTGGGGTGTAGAAGGAGGAAAGAAGGGCATTGAGGACCCCACATTTTGGAGAGGTGAATCCTGACTGTGAGGAAATACTGGTACCTCAGCTTACCTCAGCCACCAAGAGATGTACTGTTGATCCAGGGAGAGGTTTTGGCTTCTTCCCTCCAAGAGACTCCCAAGGGTGGCTTATCTGATCCTACTTTGTTTGTCTCGCATAGCCTAGAGGAAATACCAGACGCTGCTTCTTTCCTCCCTGTTGACCACTGGCAGAGGCTGAAAAGGCATCCTCGGTCACTCACAGCTGCCTAATTCTGAAGGAGTCAGCCCCATTACAGTCTTCGGCAGGCTGTGAGCTGAATCCCCTTTCCAGAGCCCCACCAGGCTCTGCTGCATCTGTTTGGACAAGCCTGTGCTTGTTGGTGCTTGTTGCACCACCTCAGTTTCTTTTTCTCGGAGCAGGCTGAAATGCTTTGGAGGCCTAGGAAGGGACAGCTGTTACCTGAAGTCTTGAAACAGTTTTCACCAACTCAGAGCTTTCACCCTCGTCAGGGATAGATACACTTAGGCAGTGCTCCCTCCCTGAAATCCCAAGGGAGACACCCTCCAGGACACTGATTATTTCCATAACACTAGGAACTGGCATTCAGGTGCTTTGGGCCCAGAGCTCCATCTGTGGAAGGAAGAGTGAAAGAGATGAACTTCCTTTTGGCCTTCCTGTGAGATAAGGGGTTTCAGAGCAAGTAGGGAGGGAAGCCATATGGGGCAGAACAGGTAACACCCAGACCTGAGTCTTTGTTCCCAGCACCATCACAGGAAAGGCTCTCACACTCTTCATTCAGTGTTCATTTGGGGAATCTCTCCTAACTGCACTTGTCATCAGCATCTCCAGACACAATTCATCCCAGCCTAGGAGAAAGGTGTATTGAGAGTTTTTGGTGCATTACATTTTTTGAGCAGCCTGTCCTGTGGACCTGTAGATTTCTACGGGCCATCTGGGTGCTTTCCTTCACCATCTGTGTCTCCCTCTAAAGGCTCAAAAGCAGTGGGAGAAAATCAGCAGGGACATCACTGGGCTTATCCACAACGTTGGGAAAACCCTAGCATGCAGTCTGGGCAGAGGTTTCTGTTCCTCAAGCATGGACTCGGGCGTGTAATGGGTATTTACCGCAAGCATGCACTAGAGGATGCTCCTGCCCCACTTCACCCTCTGTGCACTCAGCCTCTTACTGGCAGTACAGAGCAGAGAGCCCCAAAACCGCAGCGGAAAACTCAGAGGTGCTCAATACCTGCAGTGTCGATTCTTCTACTGACAGAGAAAGGGCATCTGGTGGGATGTGACACCAGTTGTCTGTTTTCCTCGTTCTGTGGGGAGGAAAGTGTAAATCAGTATTAGTCAGTGAGGAAAGAAATTGTTGCTATAAGAAGTATTTCTGTAATACCTCACGCGGACTGACATGTGGTCATGGTAATCACAGCAATAGCAGCTGCTTTTATGTCAGTTCTGTTTGTTTGAACTTGCCAGTATGCGCCTGCAGTACAGCCGTGATATGATTAACTCTGGCAGTTGGCAGCGGAGACTCGTCATGGTCATGGTCACTGCTAGCGGTACAGGGCTCCAGTTACGCAGGCACCTGCAGATGCCTTAGGACAAGCACTCTCAGATCCCTGGGAGCTGCCAACCTGCCGAGGTCCACAAGACCTGCGTACCAGCCCTTAGAGTCCACACTCGGGCCATGGGGGTTTCAAGATCATCCCACCTGGCATGTTGAGGAGGCCTGGAGAAGACCTTTGCCTCCTGTTGTGCACTGGAGCGGCTGCTTTGCTCCAGTCCCAGTAAGAAAAGCCCTCAGACCCTGTAAACTATCACTTAAAAGTCTATTTATCCAAGCTAACTCTGTAGAGAAAGGGGATGGTTATAGAAAATGTCATTCCCCTTCAGATGCTGGAAACACCAAGCTGTAAAGCACCAGTGGGGTCTCCAGCCTGGGTGCAGCCCCCGGCACAGATCCCATACATGGAAGTGTCACTCGAGCTCCTGGAGGATTTTCCTACAGGAAAACAACTGTATTCATCATTTCTGCTGTCAGACAGAAAGGACGTTCACGTGTTCACACAAGAGCTTCCCGCCGCACTTCTAAGCAAGGACGGCCCAGCCCTGCCCGCGCCTGAGCCTCCTCGGGTTAATGTGTACATGAACAACTAACTCGAGCTGGCCTTCCATCCCCTCCGATTTCAGCACCCGCCGGCTCTCTGCACTCCCTCAGTGTCTCCAGGCAGGTGGCTGCTGTTTGTCCCTGTTGGGTCAGCTCTGTCTCCTGAAGAGTCGACTCCGAGACTGACCCAGAGGCACTCGGCCGCTTTGCCCTTGTTCTGCCGTTGTTCTGTCAGAGCCGTTATTGCAGTGTCCATCCCGTGACGCAATAACAAGCTGGATACACCCACACAGCAATTCAGGAAGCAACGGGAGCTTCTGCCTCGCCATACACAAAGCTGAGTGTATTTGTGCTGCTCCCTCTTTCTCTTGCCGTGGATCTGAGATTTAAATCTCCTCTTACGCACTAAGGTGTCTTTCTCCTGCCAATAGAAAAAAGGAGAAACCTTTTACACTTGTGAAGAGCGTACTGAGAATAACTTCAGGCACAGCAACTGCGCTGCTGAAGTCTGAGCAAATGCCCATTCCCTTTTTATTCCACAGGCAGTAGCAGGGACCTCCTTGGGGCGACTCATCTGCTTGGTGGAAAGGTGCGCTCCTAGGACGAGCCCTCTCCTAGTACACACTCCTCTTCTCGCACTAAGTGTGGAGCCCTGAAACGTGAATAAGACACCTGGAATAAAGACTCTTGGAACTACGATTAGTTTAGAGAGGAGATATTGCTTTATTCTGCACAGGGTGCTGGTTGGAAGAGTCCACAAATCAAACACCCCACAAAAAAGAACTTTGAAGTATTTATACACTCCAAACTACATGATGTATTTACTATAATGATTATTGGTTAATTACTTATCACTTCTATCCCTCATTGGTTAGTTACTTGCTCACTCTAATTTAAAGTTACAGTGGTGTCTAATTTTCTGCACAAGCTCAAAGGATGAGGGTCTGTATTCGGGCAGCGTTCTTAAACTGATTTACATAAAACAGTTTTAAGAAGCTTCCATGTTCCAGGATGTTTCTCCTCTTCAAGGATGTTAGCTGCTGATTAGAAGTTCCTTAGTAATTGTTGATTGTTTGAAGACCAGACTGACCTATCTGATGCATCCAATTTGTCCTTATATTTGAAGAGAAACACTTGTATGGACAATAATATGTACTATGAGTCCTTGGGTGTGATGAGAAGCATTTGTGGGGCTGGCAATGTGTGAGGAGAAGCAATTTTGTGGCCTGCAATTCCCGGTAAACAATACATTCTCTCCCATGGGTAGCAAGCACATAAAATTTAAGCAACTCTGAACAAGACCGACCTCTTGTTCAGGGTAACGAATACAGCCTGATTTGTGCAAAGCACTGCTTTCCCTCTGGTAACACTTTCTTTCAGAAATATTCCCTCTCTCAGAGGTGCCCTTTCTGACAAGAGTGAAAAGAAAGATCCAGAACACTACATGGAGAAAGGGGAATGGGAAAACCAGACGTCACCAGGAGAGTTTCTCCTGCCGGGGTTCAGGAAAGCACCTGATTCCAGGTGCCTCTTCCTCCTCTCATTGTCTGTGCAGAAGCTGTGCTTGGGAGCATCTTCGTGGTGCTGGTGGCGACACCAGCATTTCCACAGCCCAATGTATTTCTTTCTGGTGAATTTGAGTAGCTTGGAGATGTGCTGTACATCCATCAACCCACCTGGCCAGCTTCCTGACTGGGCAAGGACCACCTCTGCTCAAGACTGCATGGCTCAGCTCCATTTCTTTGGATATCTTGCAGTCTCTGAGTGTTACCCACTGGCCACCATGTCCTACAATCAGTCCCTGGCCATATGTCACCTCATGCTCTGTACAGGCATGATGAACTGGAAGGTGTTTTCCCAGCTGGCAGCTGGCTCTGGGCTTGGGGCACTGACTATATTCACAATCGTCACACACGTCACACAGGCTGGAGAAATAAGGCCTCTGGGGACCTCCCACCTCTGACCCTCCGTTAGACCATTGCTTCAGGGAGAGAAGACTCCTGCCGGCTGCTCCCATGGTGAGATCTCTGTCTGTAGCGCAGTGCCGAGGGATGAGCTTAAGAATACAATTCAGTATCCTCAGCCTAGGCAGCTACTGCCTTACCTGTGCTCTGGGACACAGACCTGGCCACCAGCTGTGGCCCCAGCTGACTGTGTGTCTCTGGGTGTCCCTGTGCCATGTCTGCCAGCCCAGTGCAGTCATCTGGGATACCCCAGAGAGCAGCAACCCTTGAGGCACCACCGGATTGGGACAGGCACCTCACAAATGTAGGTTTGTCTCAACTGCCCACGAGTGTTGTCTGCTGCTCTTTGTTGACCACAGAATTAAAAAACTAGTTAAGACCTGACTAATTATTACCTGCCTCAAGTTGTGGGGCTGTGCTGTGCTTACAATTTAAGCAGTCTCAGCTACCGCACAGAAAATGCCCACCTTAGTTCTGCTCCACTTACCACAAGGTTCTGGCATCTGCACGGAGTCCTAATCCACACGAACAAAGTGAGCACTGCAAGAACCTTTTCATTAGCCCCGTGGTGACAGAATCTCAAATCTGCTAATTATTGTTATTCTTTTTTAAAATGACCAGAAGCTCAAAGTGGTTTGAGGTTTTCTTTTCTTCTTGAATCCCAGCACTTGGCTTACCAGAGGCATCTGGAATCCTATGAGGGAAGGTTGCTGGAGTCTTCTGTTGGAGGTGGGTTTGCATCCCCTGCTCCTCTGAGTAGAGCTGTGCTGCATTAGCTTGTAACTTCACCATGACATCTAGGAGCTTTTGTCAAGCTGGATCACAGAAACATCAGGTTGCTGGAGGTATTTACTCTTTCCGACAGAAATACCATTAATTCCACACACTGCCAATGACAGTGAATATACAGAGGAAAGAGTATCACTAGGAAAGAGAAAACGACCTGAAAATGCTTGCTCACCACTTGTAATCTATCCTACTTAATGCAGAAAGCTTCAGAGAGGCTACCCACATGTTGGGACAGGTCTGAAGGAAGACAGTCTATGCCGCACCGTTGATAACTCTCTTACAGCATTTCTGTCTTTCAGATTTTTACCAGAGCTTGATCTTCGTCTTATGCTAGGGACATTTCTGAGGCAAAAGAGAACGTTGGGGTTTGAATTGAAAGCAGATTGCCTTCTCTTCTCTCCCTCAATACTTCTGCAAAAATACTCTGTTCTCATGGAAAATGAAAGCAAAGAAATCTCTATGCAGTATTAGCTGTGGATTGTTACAAAACAGGTTTTCATACCAAAAGTGAGTTTCCTTTTTGGACCTGTGGAAAAAAATTGCCTTCTGCAAGAAGAAAAGAGGAGTGTGTTTATAAGGATTTAGAATGCAATTCTTCACTGACACTAAGGAGCTGTTTCCCATCACTGACACTGTGATGGGAAACAAAGTACAGAATCCTTTCAGAGCATTCGCCAAAGGCAAGGGCAATGTGCAGAAAGTTCTGGTCTCTATAGTTCTCTGAATTTCTGTTTTGAGAATAAATTACCAATTTGTAGGGGGAAATGGAAAAGTCCTGGTTTGTTCTGCATATGGCTTTTCCTTGTAAGAAATTCCTTTTTATTTTTCAACTGAATCAAATAAAGGCAGTAACTTAACATCACGGAAATGTAGAAGACAGGCTTGCATCTCCTGCTGCCTGGAATAGAGCTGTGCTGTATTATTGTGACCTCTAGGCTCCGAGGTGATCTCATCAATGTACATAAATATCTGAAGGGAGGGTGCAAAGGGGACAGAGCCAGGCACTTCTCAGTGGTGCCTAGTGACATGACCAAAGGTAATGGGCACAAGCAGAAACACAGGAAAATCTGTGAACGCAAGAACCTTTTTTATTCTGAGGGTGACTTGATCACTGGAACAGGTTTCCAACAGGGGCAGTGGAGTGGCTCTCCTTGGAGACATTGAAAACCCAACTGCACATGGTCCTGCGCAACATGCTCTGGGTGACCTGCTTGATTGGAGGGGTTGGACCAGATGACCTCTAGAGGTCCCTTTCAACCTCAAGTGTTCTGTTACTCTTATTCCATGATTCTGTGAACCAGCTGTCCCCAAAACCTGCCCACAGAGGTGATGTGTCACAGCAGTGTCATCAGGAAAGTTCAGTGCCCAATTATTCCCTAAGCTGGAAACAGAAGAGAAATGTAGAACTACTGGGAAGAATAAAATGTGGATCTAGAGAAAAACGGCTCAGCTGATGTACTCCATGTCAGAAACAGGTAAATGTGAGGCACAATATAATCTGTAGGATAGGTTGTTGTACTTCAGTTATTGGTGCTCCTCTGGGATGACTGAAGACAAGAGAGACATCATCAATGGGCAGGTGACCTTTCCAGTTAATGGAGTGAATTTCCAGTGCAGGGTTCATCTCATGCTAAAATTAAGCCCTAAAGCAGTTCAGAAGGCAGACATAGTGATTGTGAAATAGTGGCTATGAGCATGCTCATGGGAGTTTGAAGGCTTGAGATAATACTAAACTGAGATGAGCTGCAATCTGCTTATGAAATCCTTGCTATCTCCTCAACAGATCATTGTTGCAAATTTATCTTTTTTTTTTTTTTTTTTTTTTTTTTTTTTTTTTTTTTTATTAAGGAAAATTAAGGAACAAAAAAAAAAATATTATCAGGGAATGCCATTTGTGCACAAGAGCTATTCTGTTTTTCATTGCATTTCTAGGATGTGAAGAAGAGACCTTGCCACCTCACTGCCATCTGGAAACTGATACAGACCGGTAACCCACAGGAATTGGGGAAGCTATTGTTTTTATGTTACCACAAATCTGGGAGAATGTGATTAAAAAGTAGAGCACTAAAACTGGTATTTGTCTGCTAAGTCAGGGAGCCAGCCTGGAAAATAGAAATTAGTCAGAAATGTTAAAGTATGCTTGCAGATCCTGACCTGTGGTACCACAAATAAGACAAGGGAGGATTTAAATCTCTTCTCGTCATCTAGGCTCAGTATCTTCAAGAGTGAACACATGCCAGTACTTCAGACACTCATCTTAAGATCCACAGAAAATCTCTCTGGAGATATTGAATCTCTGCCTTTGCCAATGCAGCAAATACTGAGGAATACACAGATACTTAGACAAGTATCAATCTACAGACAGGTGAGATGAATCACATTCAGATTTTTATGGAAAAGGGTATGCTGTCTCATTTGGAATCTGTCCTCAAAGGTACTATAATGCATGGGCTCTGGGTTTTGTAATGGATACTGGTAAGAAAGGTACTCAGGTTCTGTAAGGTATTTATTAAAATACCATGTTTTGAAGCTAATATGAAAAGGGAAAGAGAATCGTATAGATGATCTTATGACTCCTAAGGTGCTGGGAAGCCACAGTTGTGAAATATTGGATGGATTACTAGCCAAGGCATAGCCCGTTACACTGACCTGTCTGTGGAGTAATTCCCACACATTATGGTATTTGAAGGTCTTACCAGATTTTCTTAAGAATTATAAAATGCTATTCATGATTTCTCCTGTCCAGCAAAAAGATGTCCACATGAGAACATGCTGCTTCACTTTAAGATGAGGACAAGAACATTCTGGTGCCAAGTGGGAGCTGCCTAAAGGCTGCTTACTTATGATTTGCCAGATAAGTTTGTCCTGTGGCCAAGTGATATGTGCAGCACAGGCAGGTACCTACTCAGGTCAACTGTCACAAAGAGCACTCAGTCTTTGGCTTACAACAGTCTTCCAGTTAGGACCACCACACATACGACCTGACTAGGGTTTCATTTCTTCTTGCAACAACTTTAACATCCTCTTTTTAACTGTTTTACAGCTATCAGAGATGAATCAGACAACAGTGGAGTTCATTCTCTTAGGACTCACTAGCAACCACTTTTTGGAGAGCATCCTAATTGCTACTCTCTTTGTTGCCTTCCTCCTGATCCTCCTTGGAAACATCATTGTCATCACCATCACACTGGTGGACCAACACCTTCACATCCCCATGTATTTCTTCCTCAGGAATTTCTCCCTGGTGGAAATCTGCTTCACTTCTTCCTTCATGCCAAGAACACTCTACAGCCTCCTCACAGGAGTAAAAACAATTTCCCTCTCTGGATGTTTCCTACAGTTATCCCTCTTCTTCATCCTGGGTATCTGCACTTTCCTCCATGTAGCTCATGTCCTTTGACCGCTACATGGCCATCTGCCGCCCTTTGCATTATGCTGCCTTCATGAACAACAGGTTTTGTCTCCAGCTGGTGCTTGGCTGCTGGGTGGCAAGTTTTTTCTTGATGTTCTCCCCACTCACAATTATGTTTCATTTGCCATTCTGTGGATCCAACATCATCAACCACTTCTACTGTGATATAGCGCCATTGCTCCAGCTGTCCTGCACAGACACAGGCCTCATTGAGAAAGTAATGCTAGTGATAAGTGTTCTAATATTACCTGGCACCTTATCAGTAACTGCTTTTTCCTATGCCTACATCATCCATACTGTCACACACATCCAGTCTTCAGCAAGCAGGAAAAAATCCTTTTCCACATGCTCTGCTCACCTCATTGTGGCCACTATTCTGTACAGCAGCTCCATCTTCAGGTACATCTGACCAAGGCAGCGGGGTGGAAGGGACTGTGACAGAGTCGAGTCTTTCCTCTACTGTGTGATTACTCAGCTATGTAACCCTTACATCTACACCCTCCAAAATGAACAAGTCAAACAGGCCTTGAAAGATCTGCTAGCAAGGTGTTTTGTAGGCTCTGATGATATTTTGATATCCAGAACCACAAAGCAGGGAGTTCATGTGAATGACTTCCTAGCAGAGTTCCCAGTACCCTGGGGGCAGGGGGGGTAGGAATAAAGATGATGCATGGGGATTAATTAGGTGGAATTCACCTCACCTTAGTGTATAAAGAATATGACAAATGCCTGTTTCTCTGCCCTAGCTACATACAGCATCTCTTTGACTTAATCAGTAGCAAGTAGCCACATTTGATCCATTTGAAATGAGTTGTGATGAAATCCAAGCCAGACAACACCGACGTGTTAATAAACTCTTTAGACGTCTGTAGGAGATGAAAATAAATACTGTTTATACCTCAGACAGAGATGCTTAACCTTCAAAGCAGATGACACATCATCACACAGAAAGTTCCTGTCATAATGCCATTTACAGACAGGTACATGGAGGTGAGTGAGTGATTTCTGCAAGTAGATGTTTTGCATGGTGAAAGCTGGAAGTTCATGCCTCACTAAACTATCTTCCAACACAAAGGTCATTTTAATGTGTATGTTAACAAACTGTCCGACCCTGATCGCACTAGTGTAAGCCCTTATGTCCATCACCAGTCTCATCTGGGGCCTCCACTCACACCCTTTGCACATGGATGCAGGGCTCTCATTGAAGCACAGGCCTGGGCATTCAGTCACTACCTGACCTCTGCTGTAGCAGTCCCAGTCTTCATTTCGGTCACAGTCACTCTCATGTCCTAAAGTCCACACAAACAACCCTCCATTATTATCAAGTTCTTCCTATACATTGTTTCTGTCTCCATGTCTGCTTCAGTACAATAGAGCTTAGGGGTTTCAGGATGGCCTGGGGGTGGTTTTGATCTCCTTGAGTTGTTCCATACATCAAAATCCCCTGCTACACAGCTGCTTGGGAAAGAAACTTTATTTCTCTTCTCTGCTTGCAGAGGGCTGACCAAAGGGAAGTGCTTTGATCTCTAGGCATTTCCACTACTCTTTTTTGGAATTGCATATAACCTTAGGAAACAACTCTTCAGGTCGGATCACTCCTCCCATGGATGTGCTCTGTGCAGGAACCCCTGAGATTCATTCAGAGTTCAGGGTATGGGTACAGGAATAATGTCACCTAGGTAAGCCATATAAAATTAAGAAAATAAAGTCTCAGCTGGCTGTCCACAGTCCTTCCAAATTCAACATAATACTGTGGGTGATTTATTCCATCCTTAGGCAGAGGAAGATTTCTTAGTCTTCTTCTCTGACTTTTTTGTCTATGTGATCCATCTTCAGTGACTAAAATGTGATGGTGGGGATCCCAGCTGGGACACAGAAATGTCTAACTGTGTTACTCAGGAGTGTTGTTGATTATGCATGTTTAAGTATGTAGGTATGTGTATGCATGTATCTATATATCGTAACTTCTCTGTCCATGGTCGTTTCAGAAGTGGTGCTTGAACTGAGGACGGAATTCCCAGAGCCTGCTACTTAGACGTTTTGCACCTGAAAGCCTACAGCGCCTGCACGAGGCAGGCCTTCAGGCTCTCTTTCCTTTCCTAGAGGGTAGGTGACTCAGGCCAGAAGCCAGTGGGAGAACTAGCATGAGGGGACTGTGGATGGTCAGGAAGCGAAGAGAAGGACAAGGACCTTCCTTGGAGAGCAGGCACACCTTGCTCTGCCTGACTGTGCAGCCTGTCCATGTTGGACAAGAACAGATTTTAACCTTGCCCAGAAGTGAGAGCTAAAAGCAACGGTGGCATGGAAGGTGCCTCATGAGTCATTAGGGCTGCCTTTACATTCCCAGTATGTACCTTCTGCCTGTAGCTCTGTCTCTTCTCCAAGAATCTGGAAACCGTGGAGGATCTTTGGCACACTTATTGGTAGAGGCTACGATCTGTGGTCTTTCTAGACACAGCACAAATGAAGAGGCTCCTCCGGAGGCATGGTCAGTTAAAGAAGACAATCTTCTCACATAGGGAGTAAAGAATGTCCTCTGGCAAGACCTTGTCCCAGTACGACACTCTCTCCCCTGCACTTCGTTGATGGTAAAAGGGGCTCACCACATCATATCTGGAGGCTGAGGAACAAGACTTGGGTGAACTTCACCCATACAGCTGTAAGTGCAATGGAAATTCATCTGGTCTGTCTTTTCCTTGCTTGCAGTGGATTTTATCTAATCCTATACAAAAGAGTGGACATTTTAAACAGCTGCAGTGATATTCCTCTCAATAACAGTATTTAATTTGGTATATAGTCATTCCAAAGCCCAACCAGTTCTGAGGCATTTTAAAATTCCACTAACTGGGCTTGTAGGGACAGTCACAATCGAGCTCAACAGAAAGCTTGGAAACAACAATCAGTGCTGTGGAAACATCCAGGAAGGACAAGACCCAGAGGAAGGAGTACATGGGCGTGTGGAGGGTAGGGTGCACTGTGACCATGAAGATGAGAAAGTTCCCAATGATGGTGATGGTGTACATTAAGCAGAATGTGAAGAACAGCAAGTGCTGCAGTTCTGGGTGGTTGGACAGTCCAGAGAGGACAAATGCCGCCAGCAGGGTGCAGTTTCCTGGTTCTGGTCCCTCTGTTGGCTTCATCTGGGAGGAATCAAATGGACAGATGTCAGAGGGGTAGTCGCTGCACCAAGATCACGGTGCTTCAGCCAGTTACTGAAGCGAGGAGTCTCTCGGGAATCCCTGGAGAGCCACTGGATCAAAGGGTGCAACTCTAGAGCTGGCTTAGCTGGGCAAAGACAGCAATGGCTGTGTGTGCGGAGAGCACATGATGTTAGTGCTCTCTAAGTGTCATAGTCTGGGATAGTGACCAAGCATATAGCGATGAGGAGTTGACTTTTAAGGCTTGGCTCCATCACGGGTGTAGGGTTAATTGTATTCCCCCAAAATGTCAGCTCTGTGGTCCCAACCAGTTCCACAGATGCTTTCTGCACTGAAGGGAAAGCCCCATTGACAACAAAAACACCCACAGTCCTAAAAAAATGCAAACACAAAGTAAAACCAAACCAAAGCAAAAGCAAATACCCTTTGTCTCTAGGCAGGCCAAGGGAGAAGGAATAATTAGGGAGAAAGATGCCCATAGAGAACACTAAGGCAGCGCAGAGGCTGAAGCTCAGGACTGTCTATCTGCTCCATCAGTCACGTTGCCTCATTACCTGATGATCGTTGCTGTCTGTGGGATGCTGATAGGATATTCCCACAGCACTGTGACGGCCATGGGAGCTTTGTCTTTTCTCACTGCCCAGAAGGGGAAACTGCTGCACAGAAAGAGAGAAGAAATTAGCCTGCCGCAGAGGAGAAAGTGGTAATTAATTCTTGTCATCTCTTGCCAAAGAGGCAACCAACCACTGGGCTACACCAGTAAATCTCAGGGCACAGAATGCATTTTGGCAGCAGAAATGTGTCCGTATATGGGGGCAGAGGAGGGAAGCAGCTTTCCACTGTACACACATGGACCTGGTCAACAGACCACAGCACACAGAGAAGGTCCCGTCAGGAGAGCAAGAGCGCTGCGTACAGACTTGTTGACACCCATTTGTTCTAATGACTGGGCCTAAGGTCTCATTCTCACGTTCATCATCTTTGCTTGCAGTGTTCCAGAAGGAAGGAAGGAAGGAAGGAAGGAAGGAAGGAAGGAAGGAAGGAAGGAAGGAAGGAGAATTCTTTCTTTCATTAGAAATAAAACAAAATGTGTGTTTTCTGGCTGACTACCCACTCCATACCTAGCCCATTTACCTTAAAAATATCAATGTGGTGATGAAATTGAAAGAATAGGCAGTCCAAGTGTCCATATACTTAATGAGGAATGCTGAATTCTGAGTAAGGCAGCGTCGAACATTTGTCTCTCCTACCTTGGGTTATGTTTGCATCAGTTAAGAAATTAAATACCTGTAAATTGACTGAATAAGACTTCTATTTTTGTGCAATGGACTTGTTCTCTATTCACTGCTGCTTGATTTCTTGGAATACTGTTTTATTTTGATAATGATAAATTATCAGTATTTCATTGGAATGCATTTATCTGAACAAACATTTCTTACAAGAAAGTGAGGAAAATTTATAAAGAACATGTACTTAAATTCTTCTTTAACAACCAAAAATATTTTCATGTATATTTTGAAGTTGTACTATATTTTTTTGACCAGTCATGAGTATTCCACATGAAAACATGAAAGCAATAAATTCCCTAGAATATATTAGAAATCAGAAACTTAGAAATTAACTGAACCCTTAGTAGTGTGAGCTACCACAATAGAAAAAATAAGATTTTTTTTTTATTGTTGCTGCTGATTTTCTTTACAGTGCATGTTTACTCTTTTATTAGTCAGAGACCACTTTGGTTCCCAATCAGTTATTACCTTGAGAAACAGCACTATCATTTTAGTTGTATGTTAATTATTGTTATTTAAATTTCCTTCTTTGTCAAAAGCAAAAGTTAATAATTAGATTGACAGTATGTGCTTTGCTTTTACATTTCTCTGTAGAAGAAAACAACCATCTAAGAAAGGAATGACAACTGTTTTTCATTCTGAAAAAAAATGTTGCTGAGTGTTAATGGCATTCTTCATCTCCATGTTCCTCAGTGTGTAGATTATGGGATTAATGATTGAAGTGATGATTGCATAAATAGATGACATTACTTTTCCTAGCACAAGATTTTGGAACAGATGTTCATAGATGAAGATGCAGGGTACAACATAGATACTCACCACTGCAACCTGAGCTCCACAAGTGGTAAAGGCTTTGAGCTTCTCCTCTGTGATAGGTGTCCTGATTTTGACCAGTATGACAGCATACAGCACAATCAGGCAATGAGATGACAACTGTAAACAGCCTGCTATTGGACACCATGAGCAGCTCAGCCACACGTCTGTACAGGCTGGTTTGATTACCTGTGAGACATCACAGTAAAAATTGTCTAGAAGGTTTGTTCCACAGAACTGCAACTGAATGACCAGTGCTACCTGCACAACAGAATGAACCCCCTACCCATGCTCCTGCTAGCAGCCCAAGGACAACACTGTGATTCATAATGCTCAAAGATTTATGGAGAGCACATACTGATCCAGAGCCATCACTGTGAGGAGGATGGGCACAG